GTGTCCGACGGCTCCTCCATCTCCTCAGCCTGGAGCTGGAGATTCGAGGTGACCCGCCTAAGGAGCTCCTAGTGAGCCTTAAAATCTTCCTGCAAGGTGGGTGGTGGTGCCACAATGGATTCCTCTGGTGATGGTGAGGGGACCGGATCTGCCCCCAGGGCATCGGGCGGTACCGGTGGTTCAACCCCCAAGTCCGAGCCCGCGTGCGGTGCTGGTGTCTCGGTGCCACTTGACTTTTCCCAGTGCCGAGGTGGCCACTGAATGGGGTCTCGCCGGTGCCGGTAGTGCGGCCAAGGTGCCTACTGACACCACTGCCCTTGCCAGGGTGCCCCTTGCCAGTGCCCCACCTGGGGACCTAGTGGAGCCGCTTGATTGTGTGGGACGGCGCGGCCCGGGGATGGGCAGCTGGGTGCCGAAGCTGAAGTCACTGAAGAGTGCACGGTGCCATACGAGCAACGGGAGCATCCACGGCCGTGTCAGTGCTGGCCTCGAGATTTAGATCTCGACCAAGAAGACCTGTACCCGTCAAAGGTACTGCTTCCAGATTCCCCCCGGCGACCATGGCTATGACGCGAATGACACCTGTCGGAGCAAACACTCGAATCTGAGCATTGGTGCCGATGGTGTTGAGACCTGCTCCTGTAACACCGATAGGAAGAGGAGCATCGACGCATCTTGTCTCGGTGCCTGCAACCCCTCCGAGTAGTGGAGGAACCTCGGGACTCCCTCTCAGGCGAATCGGCCAACGGAGTGGAAGTCTGACGCAGGCTACGAGATGGCCTTGCAGAACGGGTAGGCACCTCATCCTCGGAGCGGGGGCTATGCTGGACCGGGGAGGGTTGATGAGTTCCCAGCAGTGGCTTCCCTCAGGAGCGAGGGCCCGTCTCAGGCAGCACACCCGACACCGGAAGGGCGAGGATGTCACGCGCTGCCTATGCTGCCTCAGGCGTCAACGGTATTCTCACCGCAGGAGAGGCACGCGCGGATGGGACCGGACTACTCTGCTCAGCGCGAGGCGGAGGTCTGGATCCCGAGGGGAATCGTGGGCTGCCCAACTTGGGTGCGGCCTTATCCCTGTCCTTCTCTTGGCGCTGCTGAGTCTTCCCTTGCTTCTTAGCAGGGGGAGCGGTGCCAACTGGTTGATGGGGCGTTGCTCTGCATCGACGATGCGCCCGGCACCAAGCCGGGTGCCGGGGCCAATGCCGACTCCATTAGTAGGGCCTGGAGATGGATATCCCTTTCACGTTTCGTTCTTGGTTTGAACGATCTGCAAATTTTACAACGCTCACTTACGTGAGTCTCGCCTAGACAGCGAAGGCACTGAGTGTGTGGGTCGCTTCTGGGCATAGAACTGCGACAGGAATCGCACGACTTGAAGCCCGGGGCATGGAGCATGCCCCGAGCCAGGCAACTAACTAGAGAATCAGACTACTAAGAAGAGTTATACTACTAAGGCTAGAAGCACTACAACAGAGCTGGAGCACGAAGTTCCGACTACCTTCACTGGCGGCAAGAAGGAACTGAGGGTGGGGGGAGTGCACAGCTCCCCTTATAGCACGATATAGAGGCGCCACTCCAGGGGTCGCAGTGGTGCTGCCCCACTATGGGTACTGCTAAGGGAAAAACTTCCGGCACCGGTGCACATGGAGAGCACCACACCTATTGTGGAATACACAGGAGCAATCACCCGAAGAAGAACCATAGTTAGGATCCAATTCTGGTCTCAAGTAAAGGACAATAAAAGCAAAGCAGAGATTTACAGTAGTACACTAGATCCTGTTTAACTGTGGAACCAGACCAAAAAAGAAGGAAACTGGCTGCACAGGAGAGCGAGACATTCCATTATTTGGAGTAAAAGCCATGTGTAGTAGGTGGGATCCTTCACTCTTTAGAGGAGTCTGACCTAAGCCCAAAGAAGGCTCAAGAGTGGTGAGAAAATGAGGCAGGGAAACATGTATGTATTTTTACTGTTTTGGACAGATCTGTAAATTTCTTGTACTAGCTAAAGTAAAGAACAATTGTTTAGGAACCCTATAAAGTCTATGTGTCTATTTGCTTTTAACTATCACATGTCCTCAAAGAGGTGAGCACCTATAAAGTTGTAGCTCTGGAAAGAGTGTGCTTAAGTTACTGGGGAGGCTGAGTGGATCAGTACTGGTCCAGGAAGCCTATGACAACTGGGTAGTGGGGCCTTGTTTCCACGAAGAGATAAAAGTCAGTCTGTGCACAGGAAGCGTAGTCCAAAAACGTACTCAGATCAAGGGAAATTTCAGGGTACACACACCCAGTTTGTACAGCTCAAAACACAGCAGCCCGATGTGCATCCAGCTAGGGGGAGCTCTACCAGGGTTGTACAACAACTACGTTTTGCAAGTTGGGGAGGAAATCATTAAAAATCCTCTCATTTCACAGGGTTAGACTGTGACTTGGACTACATGCCCGTGCAGAGGAGACATACCATATGCAATAATATACTGTATATACAAAGGCATATCCTATATGCAATGATACAAAATATTACACATGAGCAAATTAACTTAGTTATGGTTGCTGTGGGAAATGCAAGTTTGAATTTCTTGACTTTTATTATCAAGTTTAAAACCTCAGCCTTAATACTGTACAAATGTTGGCTTTTTCATTTAATAATATATTTAAATCTAAATCAAATATCAGATTTTTTCTTTACCTATCATTTTCATCACAAAGTTTTTTGTATTCTGCTGCTACAGTTTCGTGTTTTTTGCTTTGCTGCAACATTTTCTCTTGTTCTACTTTAAGCACTTTTTCCAACTCCTCTAATTGTACTTTTTGTTTCAGCAACTGATTGTACCTGTAAACAAGATTAATATAAAAACTTTGGTTATATCCTCTAGAACTAATAAAAATAGCTAAGGATGTAATTTCAATTTTGAACAAGGAGAAATTTATTCAAGGAGTTAAGATCTAAATGACATATTAAAGAAACATTCATTTTATTCAATCTAATTTATACAACAATGTTCTTGTATTATTATGAAATGCAGGTTTTTAATTTTACTCACAAGATCCATCTTACATATTAATAATTACCTATCTTCTAAGTCCTTATGTTCCACCTCAAGATTTTTGTGTGCAGACTTGAGGCTTCCATGTTTGGCAATTAGAGATTCATATTCAGAAGCTTGACGTTCATGAAGATGTTCCAGTTTTTCATGATCTTTGACGAGTGAATCATACAATGACTTCAGATCCTCTCGTTCCTTGAGTATAGATTCATTTTCATTTTCCAAGGCAGACTGTTGGATCAGCAGTTGTGCATTCTGATTCATAAGAGATGTACTTTGAGAATTAAGGGTAGAATTTTCAACCTGTAGTCGTAAACAGTGTTATCAGAAATAAAGGAAAGTCCATTTAATTTAGTATTATCAACAATGAAAGTGGGGACTAGCATACTATTATAGTTATTAAGGTAACAAAGGACTTTCAGGTCCTTTAATCTAGTCTAACTCACCCTAGTGAAGGACTGGCCTCAAAATTAATTTTTTTTTTTTAATTTAATATACTTATAAATACTTCAGTGACTTCAACAACTTCATTAGCCAAGTTATCCTATTATCTAACGCACCTTAATGGTAATAATTTTTCCTGATACTTAATTTAAATGGTATATTTTAGTTTCAGTCGGTACATCCTTATATCTTATACCTTATACCTTACCTTATATGACGGTAAGTCATTATGGCCACAATTCAGGAAAGCATTTAAGCATATGGCTAAGTTCATTTCTATTCAGGAAAGCATTTAACCATGTGCTTAACTCCACGCCTCCTCTTAAATGCTTTCCTGAAGAGAGATTCTTTCCTATTTTGAAGCAGTGAGGTTGACAGGTGTATTAAAAGTGTTTTGGATACCAATGTTTATCGCTATCTGATCACTAGAAATCCTTTGAACAGGTGAGCCAGAACTGTGACTATTACTTGAAGAAAGGAAATTTTCAGGTAAGCATGCATGTTTTTTTCTATTCTTTATTGTATTTCAGAGATCCATTACAATGGGATTTCTATCAACAGAGTCCATCTAGAATGGCAAAATGGAAATAATGTTAAATCAATAGCACCTAAGTGAAACTGTGTTCATTCTCTTTTACTGAGGAACTACACTGCAGAGCGCCCTTCTACCAAAAATAATGGCAGCTGACGAATGGATGCCCAATTTATAAAATTTGGAGACAGGGTGCACTGATAAACAAGTGGCTACCTTGAAGATCTTCCCATGGAAGCATATGATTTTTCTACCCATAAAGTCACCATTGCATCATTGCCCTTAAGGCATGGGCCCTGAGATTTGACAGAGATGTAAGACTCTTTATTTTGTATGCCTCTGAAATACTCAGTTTAATCCCTGGACTTCGTAAGGGGTCTAGTACACTTAGTATATATCCTGAAGTAATGGCAAACATCAAGTGTGAATTAAAACTTCTCCCATGGATGGGAAGGCTTGCGGTAGAAGCATAGAAGGACTATTTCTTGATAGATTTCAGAGTAGCAGCCGTGTTAGTCTGTATCTGCAAAAAGAACAGGAGTACTTGTGGCACCTTAGAGACTAACAAATTTATTAGAGCATAAGCTTTCGTGGACTACAGCCCACTTCTTCGGATGCATACAGAATGGAACATATATTGAGGAGATATATATATACACAATAAGG